GACGACGCGAAGCGTTTGAAATTAAACACAACCGCGCATATGACGATTCCGGTCGCCTTCTTTGGAGATTCCGGTTCATCATATATCTTAAACACGCCCCCTCATATGGCGATTCCGGTTCATCATATATCTTAATCTTAATCACACGGTCTTCTGTGAGCCTTGAGGCGGAGGTTGGCTTAAAAAGAAAGCTGGTTGGGTGGGGGCCCAAAATTGCAAACACGTCTGTATCACGGGTTCTGAAAGGGTCCATTTGGGCTCTGTGTTGCTGCAGTAGTCATAGTAGTAGTAGTAGTAGTAGTAGTAGTAGTAGTAGTAGTAGTAGTAGTAGTGTGGTGGTGGTCGTAGGTTTCGTGGGCCTCAGACCTCATTTAGTGAACTTAGTGCTTCTTAGCAGGATACAGTCAGAAGGGCGGACGGGATCAACGAGAAGGATAAGGGTGGAAAAAGAAAAGTGAAGTCGACAAGCAGAAAAGTGGCGGAGCAATGCAGAGAAGCAAAAAAGCGTTTAAGCAGAAAAGCGGAAAAGCATAAAAGCAAGCGCAGAATCAAGAACAAGCAGAAAACGAGAAGCAAACGGAGGCAGAAGACAGAAAGAACAGCGGAAAAGCAGATAAGCGGAGGAACAGAAAAGCGCAAGCACAAGCAAGCAAAAACAGCAGGCAGAAAGGGAAAACAAAAGCAAAGCCTACAAAACCACAAAAACAAAAAGAGAATAAAACAACAAGACCTTTAAACAAAACAGACTTCCACGAATAAGTGTCTGTGGCACATCTTACCACCCACATGCAACTAGACTTCGGGGGATGCATTTCGCCCGATCAGCGAGACGACGGACGAAACAAAACTCCAGAACCACAAACCATGATAGGAATGAAAACAACACAAGGCAAGACTGAAACAAGTCGGTTCGACCTCGTCTGCGCTCCTCACGGCTTTTACCGTGAATACTACTGAAACCTGATCGCAAAGCTGTGCCGATGCACAGATTCATCGCCGGGTAAGATGAGGGATGCCGGACAAGCAAAGCCCAGGACTCTGAGAGTTCAAGAGCTTCTCATTTCGTACTTGCTTCTGCGCTGCAGGTTCATTGCTTCAGATCCTGTTCGCCAGGATATGAGGTTGTAGCGTCCCGGTGCAGCTACAGCACCTTTCCAGCAAATTGACCTTCGCATCATCCTGGGATACTGCTTTCAGTTGTCACGTTTACCAATTAAGCAACACTCTCGAACAACGGCATTCAGGAGTTGCGAAAGTCGGAAGATTTAGCGATGCTCTCCAGATTCCTAAGCTCCGATCTCCGATCTCCTGGCGGCGTAAAATCGTCTCTCCTTTTCGGTTTGAAGTTTGAGAACTCAGGCGCCCATCGAACCAGCATGCAAAATCTGCAAACAGTTCTTTGGTGTTTTTGCTGCCGCAAATTATCACGCATTTGGCTTTGCCTTTCGACTCGCATAGTGGTATGTGGCAAAGCTGCGTCCGCTCTGTTTCGTCTGCTCGCCAAACCCACCCACCCTTCCCCCTTACACTTGTGGATTGCTGCTTCCTGCCCGCCAAGTGCTGCCAGCTTTCCTGCCGACGTGAGTGAGCGCGAAATCACAAGTAACGTTCATGCCAGAGTTCATCCCTGAAGCTCTCTTTCGCCCCGTGCCTGAAACGCTGACAAACACCCTGAGACGGCCAGACCACGTTCCCTTGAATAGCAGCCGACAACTGGCAACTGAGTCACAGGTCCTCAATAGTCTATCATCCCATGCCCTGATCCCGTCCAAAAGTCGGGCCGATCACCGACTGCTGCAAGCGACACGAAAGTGTCAGGCCTGGAAATAAGGCGCGACTGGTGGACATCTCCGCGATCACACAGCCGGCCGACCAGCAGTCCTATGGGGTTCAAAGCATTCGATCTTAAAATACCAAACAATCTTCAGTTGCATAGCCGTCACGAATTGCGCAGACTGCCGTGGGTTTTACTCCAAGCTGCCACTTCGAATCCATACCGGTTTTCGCCAAGCAATAGTTCCGGACACCTGTGGCACTTGCCAAGCTCGGCATTCAGAAAAGCGTGTTCCAAGCCGGCACAGCTGTATCCAGGGAACTTTAAACACCTATGCTGCGAACTGCGAACTACACAACACAGGACACGCCCAGCAAGGCCTGTACCACAGCGTTATGACTTCCGTGGTACACGGGCGCAACACCATGGATCGTGCCAGGCCAAAGTCTGCCTTGGGGCACCGCAGAGTGAGACTTTGTTTGGGCCTACAAAGCCCAAAGTCACCGCAAAACATTTAGGAGCTTGTTTTCCTTCTCGATAGAGGGGCGATCTTCAGCCGGCCGTCCTCACCAAGGAGGATATTCTGCGGCTTGAGGTCGCGATGGAGAAGGTTCCTGTCAACCACAGTTTTGAGCAAGACATGTAGGCACAGTCTGCGGGCATTGCCGGGACCCCGCCTGCCATGACATGCCTCCAAGCCATCCAGGATGTTTGCCGTGTATCGTCTGACTTGCTCAATTGGCATGCCTGGGACCGATAGGGTTCCAAAGCAGATGCTGTAGGAAAACGCAAAGGGGAATCAAAAGAGTGTCCAAGTTGCGCTGCGAATTCTGTTTCAAGAAAACGAGTTCCTTGTGAAGGTCGGTCGGATGAAGCTCGAACACGAGCCGAAGATCCTGCCGAGACGCGCTCACACTCAGTCACTTGGCCTTGGGCCCCCAGTTGAAGGACAAGCCACGAAAAGCCCGACATACATCACGTCGATCATCCTCACCACGTTGGGATGCCTTAAATGAGACACGATGATGTGAACTCGCATCGACACGATGCCACATCTGCACTCCAAAGCCTCACAGACACTCAGAGAAGCCAAGACGCTTCAACTTGCGCAGCAGTGCCACTTCACGGAGAGTCTGTGGCGAGATACCGTTTTTCAACACCTGGCTTTGCTGGCCCTTGAGCCCTGGAGCGTCAAACACATCCGAAAAGATCTCTCGGAAGCTTTCGGAAGCGGTGGAACGCAAGCTATAATCCCAAACTTAGCATCTTGGCGACTCCTTGCATCTGGGCAAGAAGCATCCTCCTGGTCATAGTGCAGCTTCTTGATGGCCACGACGTTCTCGGTGATCCTCTGGACTGCGGAAGTCTATTGCACATCACCGCCTCGACCGATTTCAGTGTCAAGCAGAACCTATTGCGAGCCAGACACATGTGCTCGGCTCTTGTGACCTCACCATAGACACCTTTGCCAATCTGGTTCATCACCAGGTAGTCACCGCAGAGGGAAATACCTCCAAGTGTTCCAGTGAGAACAGCTATAGAGAATACCGGCAATACTTGGGCCAGCATGGCTTTAGACGTGACATCTTCTGATTCGTGCTCTTGGCTCGAATCTCCAGCCAGCTGTTGGAAACCTCGTCCCTCGCGAAGAGCGCGGAGACCTGCATGTCGGTCGATGATGTCCTGCTGCCACAGCAGGAGGCTGCATGGACGGTCTGTTCGTGAGGATTCGAACCCTGGCCCGACAGGGCAGCGGCCGCGGAGACGCACGGCATGGACCCGTCTGTGCTAAATGGACAATATTTGCTGTGGCATCCATGGAAAAATCCCTGCACTTCACGGTCAGGTTCCTACACAGACATAGGCATACTCAGCTGAACTTTAGGTGACGATCCGTTCATCGGTGCGTCTTTGATCCACTTCAACCTAAAGCCCATGCACCGGAATACAGCTGAAGATAACCCGAAGGCCACGGTCTGACCGTGTGCAGGAACACACAACTGTCGCGGCAACTACTTCCTCAACTACTTAAACGCTTCAAGAAGTGTCGTTGGTATTCTTGCTGGGAAGCGGGCTTCATTGCAGAACTGTTTGAATTTTAAGGATCATGGCGAAGCTTGCCCCGGCCTGGTTTGCACAATGTACTGCGCATCCATTCTGAGCAACCTGCTTGCACCGTGTTCCAACCGAGCCCAGCCCATGCAGTCTTGACTCTTTCACTACCTACGACGGTTGTGAGGCGGCCAAGCAACTGCAGCGAGCACGACCTCTTCATCGTCTCGGAAATCCTGCTTGGCATACCTCGGAAAGCTTGCCCTCTTCGCGAACGGGCTGCGGAGGGCCATGTCGTACGTTCGGCATCCGCCACACAGACAACATAAAGCAACCGTGTATGTGATGGGCCAGGCCGCTTCAATGATCGACCGTCCTGCGCGCTCCCGCTCCCGTCCCGACGCACGGATGCGAGCTGTCTTGTACCCCGGATTCAGGCTTCCGAGGCCCAGTGCCACACGCTTCCAACCTATAGTACTAGTCGCGCTGACGAACAAGAGCTGCCGTACGAAGAGATGTCGCGTCACTTGAGGGATTTGAAGGAGTCTTTCCCTGTCCTGCGACACGGCCGTCATAACGATCTCCCGATCATCTTTGAAATCTGCACCGAGGAACCTCCGTTCGTGACAAAAGCACACCTTCACTCCGCACAAGTCATCACAACCAGATTGCTTTAGCTACAGCCAAGTTGCTCTAGAATTCCTCCAAACCGGCCCACAGAAGCTTGAGCTATCGTGCGGTCAGACAAGACCTCAGCGCTAAATAGACCACACGCTCTGGCAAGGCATCTGAGCAGGAGATTGAAAGTTCAGAACCTTGAGAATGAAAGTGCAATCGCACGACCGGGATGCCTGTCTGAAGTAGTCATCGGCACCCTCCACATTCTTCAGCACATAAGCAATCATTAACTGCACCACTGGGTCATAGTGAAAGAGCAGTCCTGAGTGCTTTCGCTGGCAATAGAGAGCCAGCTCGAGTCCAAAACTTTGTCGTCGCACCCTCGATTGCATACCATACAGGTACCCAAGCGTGCAGTCAGAGTAACGGTTCAAGCTCTCGGTCGTGCTGTCGTCGAAGAGTGGCCCAAGCTCAGACAGCCTGCAGAGGCCAAAGCTCCAAGATCAGCAAGCTGGTGGCACCATTACAAACTGTGATCCCAAATACTGAGAAGTTAGGCTCCTTTGAAGCCTGCACATAAAACAAGCAGCAGGTGAACTGCAGCTCGCTTGACATCCCAGACGGGGTCGTTCAGCCTTAGACCGCGACGCTTGCCCACACTTCCCCAGGAGCCGAGGAATGGTCGCCGATCGCAAAGGCATGGGGGGCGAAGGCCGAATCGAAGTGAGCACTCTCACCGCTTCAAGAAGGCTCTGAGGACGTTGACGTACGAGCTAGTTGGTATTGCCTGTGTCTGCGAGAAGTCAAGCCGTCACTGGGAGTCAATGGCGCTGAGAACATGAGTTTTAAGTACGGATTCCGCACCGTAGAGCTCAATGTCCTGCGAGGGCAAGGGTCAAAGCTGTGAAAAAGCATTCTAAGCGTCATCCCGGAATGTGCAGCGAGAAGCATTGGGACGACCTTGCCTGAGTTGCAACAAACGAAGGTGCTTTAAAGCTGTGGCCTCCTCATTACCACGACTCGGGACAAGGCGCAATCGAAAAATTGGCTGAAGATCAAGAGGCCCTTCCTGACCCATGTTGCCTAGCGTCGGAAGAGGTTTGTGTCCGTCTGGAAGATCCCATGGTTCACGGAGTCGAGGGCCGCCACACGTTCGGCAGCGTCCCGGCACTGCAACATGTTGAGGAACTGCGGAAGATCCTTAATTAGACCCCAAGCAGAGAGGCCAGAGGCCCGCACAAGCACGCGGTAAACCCTTGAAACGGAGAAGCACGGTGAACAGCGCCTCAGCTCTGCCAGGCGGCGAGGCTTCGTGGAGTTTCGGCCATTTCTGGCGCTTCTTCCTAGCCACCAAAAGCGTCCAGATCTCGGGATTTTCTCCATTGTACAACGCTAGTCTTCACAACTGCCCACAGACTTCGGTAGCCACTCAAAGGCGCAGCTTGGTTTAGTCTTTGACCGGTTTTGTCCTGTCCCCTCGCAGCCGCATATCCTGCCAGGTCAGCCATCGCGTGCTCGCGATCAGCCTTGGAACTGAGCACCTGCTGTCTGCAAGCAGATTTGTCTGCGTCAACCTGCAGCCGAGGCACCGTCGGAGCGTTGTGATGCCTTGCTGCTGCTGGGCCTCAACTTCATGCAGCTCTCCATCTTCACCACGCGGCACGGGGTTTATGCTTGCGAACTTGGTTGAGCCGATGTTTAGTGTTGAAAGTGTCCATCCAGTATGCTGGAGACTCAGCAGCATTTCTGCTGCTGGCTCAGGGCCTCGAGCGTTCGAACCTGCAGCCAGCTCCTTCAAATGGTCATGCACACGCACATCGTTTCCTGGTGAAAAGGCCTGAATTTTGGCATGTCAACATGCTCGGCACCCTTGCTGGCTATGCTGGCTGAGTTCCAAGAACCGGCCCGGTTCCGCCACGTTCACAGCGGCTGCTATTGCCTCCAAGCTGCGTGCTCTCTGGATCAGGATCAAAGGATCCCGCACAGAAAGACGAAAAATCAATCGCAAGGAGAAAAAACAGTGAACTCGAGCTGGGCCGATAATCCTTTAGGCAACATGCTAGTGACAAACTCGCAGTCTTCTTGGTGAGAATGAGTGGTCCGGCCAAAACACTACTTGCATAAAGTAACATAACCATCCAGACATGAACCGAGAAACTGCTAGTGGCAGCTTGAAGCAGGAATCAGCCATAAGCAAACATGCAGCTTCACAGCACCAGCGGTGAAAAGTATCAGGCAACCAGCACCGCTTCTTCGTGCAAGGGGTCATTCGGACTTTTTTGACATAGTGGCAAACAGGCTGCAAACCTGCCGCGTCAGCAAATCAGCAAGAGTTGTGAGAGGACACCAACACTCTGACGCTGCCCTGAAACGGACGGAGACGGTCTAAGTCTAAGTGTGATCGACAGTTGAAGTCCTCTCACGCTTCTTGTGACAAAGTCGCGGGTACTGCCGAGAATCCCAGTCCAAGCAAGAGCCATGCATCCGATCAAGTTACACCCAGAACTCCTGGAATCTCCTGGACCTGGGGCTCGTTGGAGGCTCCTCAAAGGCTCCAGATGCTCCGGATTTTGGGATCCTCGGGGCTCGGCTAGCGGCGCAATTGTTAGATCCATTGTCTCCCTGGACACACACACACACCTTCTCCACAAAGGCACGTCACGCAATGTCTGTTCTAGGTGCAGTGGCTGTGAATTCCAGGGAGAAGCCATCGCTCTGAAACGTGGGAAACGAACCCCATCCTCACCAGAGACACACACAGAAGCCACTGCGAGGCTTCCTGCGGCGATGGGAAGGAGACGACGCAGTTTCCGTCACTCCTCGCGATGCCATCAGTCGAGATACCCAAAGAACAAAGACGGGTGTGCAACTCAATCGTGTGATTGAACAAGGCCTGCCTGTCCAAGAAAGAAGCATGACGGTCATTATTTCACTGCAAAACTGGTCCTTTGACTTGTCCTTCTTGCTCTTCCTTACACGACATCAACAACGAGAAATGCCCAGCGCAGCCTCGCATTTCTGTCCCAGTCGCTTCTTGCCGGAGTCTTCATCCTTCGTCTTCCTTAGCGCAGCCCAACATTGCGAAGCTGTTTACTGTTTCCATGAGCTTGGCTTTCAAAGTCATCGACGTGTTTTTGATCTCATCTCTTCAGAAGCAGAGAGTCTCTTTGTCTTTGTGCTTCTCCTTCGCCCTGTCCCCATCCGCATCTTCATCAGACTTGCCCTGTCTGGAACACGAAGCGACTGGCAAAGGCTACAGGGCAGGTCTTGGCCTTCTGCTTCTTGTCCTTCCTGAGACAAAAAGCGAGAAAAGCAGGCGGTCTCAGCATGCCACAGCGTTCTTTGTGTCAAGCAATGCTTCTGAGCGGCTTTTTGGCATCCTTCTGGTCTTCATGCTTCTCCTTTTCCCTATCTTTGGCTCTGTCCTTCTCCTTGTCCTTCGCCTCGACGGAAGTGTCGCTGAGCAGTCTGCGCACTCGGCTGCAGGAGCTTTCGCCTATGACCCTTCTCAGTTGCCTTAACTGGCCAAGTTATCCAAACTTCCACTAGCCCCACCCCATCGCGGCATAGCCTTCTCCTTTTCCTTCTCTTTCTCCTTCGCCTTCGGCTTGCTGTCCTCATCGTGCTCCTCGCAGCTGTGCTGCACTGTGCAGGGAGCCTACCAGTAAACCTGAAGCTGACTGGCAGAGGGGTAGTTGGGGCCCGTTCCAGCCTTCTTGCTCTTCTTCTTCTTGCGATGCCGGCTGTAGCTGCTACTTCGGCTGCGGCTGTAATCGTCACTGCTGTAGCCTCGGGCTCGGGAAGGTATAACTAAAAGAAGCTGGCAGTGATGCAATGTTGAAACAAAAGTCCACTACGTCATGGCTTTCACCCTCTGGCTGGATGCGAGAAGTTCGGATCGAAACCTAGCTTAACCATGACTTTACAAACACTGAACCACGCCACGCACCCACCCACCCACTCCCCCCACCCACCCCACCCACCCCTGCAGTGCGAGCATAAACATATGCTCACGAACATAGATTCATACACCTACCTACATGCAAACGTATGTATATATATATATATATGCATACATACATACATACATACATACATACATACATACATACATACATATATACATATATACACATACCATCACCTACATCTACATACATGTACATACATTTGCATACAATTACATACATTTACATACAATCATGTATACACACGTACGTGCAGGCAGACAGAAAGACAGACAGACAGGCAGGCAGGCAGGCAGGCAGGCAGACAGAAGAACAACCGACAACGTTTAGACATGCAGGCATACAGATCTACAGAGCTACAGACCTCCATGCATGCATACATACATACACACGCATACACACGTGCAGACAGCCAAACATACATACCCACGCACAAACACACTGCAGACGTGCATGCAGAGACACAGACACCTCCCTCCATCTCCATCGCTCCGCTTCCTCCATCAGAAGGTGAATGCTCTGGGTCTGCGGCTGGATCTCCGTCTCTTTCGTTTTCGCTTGGACTCCTCGCTGTCGGAGTTGCCTGGATCACTTGCTTTGCTTACGCCATCAGCACAGTTAGCACTTGTCTCTGGTCTGCCTGTTGGCACGGAGCCATCCTCAGAGAAGCTCATGAGCCTCGAGGCGAGCGCGATGGCGCAGGCGACGCCTAGCCGGCCTACCCAAACCCAATCCGGAGGCCGGCCTGCTGTGCTGCAGGGTTTTCTGCTGCTCCTGGCCAGGGTGAAAGGTCCGGGTGCGTGTTGGCAAGTTCCTGGACCTTCTTGAAGAGATGGAGGTTGGCGAGCACCATGCCCTTGATCTGCAGTCCGACCTGTGAGCCCCAGTGCAGTTTGGCTCGCTCCAGATTGTCACAAGCCTGGCCTTTGAGTTCATGCCCGAGGTGAACTGAGAGGACTTCACCTGTGAATACTGAGTTGCGTGGCCCCATCACCATTTTCATCGTCCTAATCTTGTCAAAACAACCCAGAGCCCCTGCGGCTGATGAAGAGACACAAGCTACACAGGCACCAGAGACCAACCCCAAATCATCAAGTCTGCAGACCCCTCAAGAAATTGCCGAACCCCCGTGGCCCGGTGAGAAATCTGCAGTTCACGGGTTGCCGAGCGGCAATATCGTAGATCGTGGGCATGGAAACCCGGCCCTTTGAGGCCAGAACTAAGGCCTTGGCACGTCACATCTTCTCTGATATCACGGGAGCACAGCCGGGACCAGGACTTTGTGCAGCCACTTCAGGCGCCCTTCTGGCCTTTTGTGCACAACCTGGCAGACAATGAAGGCTGTAGCCTACCGCGAAGCCCAGTCCTAATCGGCCTCCCGCTTGTCCATCGCCAGATCTGCCGCTTCTTTTTTCTCTTTTTCTTGTGCCTGGCATCTGCAACCATCCATCTTGATAAGAAGGTGGCGGAATGCGCATCAAGTGTGTCTTAGCCCATGTCGCTTTCCTCTATGATGACTACTACCAGATGTATCAACAGCTTGTCGCATCAACACCGGGCTGAATCGGGCCGGCCGCAGAACGCAGGCAGAGGCACCTCGTCAACCTTGACTTCCTTTTTGTGCCGACGAGACATGACCTGGCCAGATGTATCGGACGCGGATACTCGATAAGAAGTAGGACCAATTCTGAAATCAACTAAAACTCAAGAAACGAATTTCGGATAACACGAGAGACTGTTCTCTGAAAACATGGGCGAAACATCACGATGCAGGAAAACAAGAAGTGACACCTCAAAAGACAAGGCACATGTGTCTCGGGTCTTCTTCCACACAGCAAGAGTCAGAACACAGGTGGTGTTCAGGATGAGGGATCGCGTGCGGATGGTGGTCGGCTGGGCAAACCCTCTCTTGAAAGCATGGACAACTACTTGAAAGATCAGTGGAAGTCGAAAGCAAGCTACAAACGGAGGTTTAAGTACCGCAATTTGCTGCAATCCTCCATTAAAAACCCCACCTACAGCCTACCTAAACGCGGTACGCCTTTTCTTCGAAGTACCGCCGGATGGGCTCTTTGCAGGAGATGTTGCCAATACCTAAACGAATATGATATTGGTCGAAGCCCTAAAAACACATTTTGTGCTATTTTGCAAACCCTAGACCGTAGCCTTGCATTATACCACGTGTGTCGAGGCCCAAACCCTGTGCGCCATCAACATTTAGAAGGAGATGTTGGTTGACAACTCCGAAACCCCGAACGGAGATGATGTTGGCTGGCAAACCCGAAAACGCTAGAAGAAAACGTTGGTTGCAAAGCCCCAAACCCCCAGAAGTTTGCAAATCCCAAGCCGTTAAACCTGAAAACAAGATGCTCGGCAGCAAGCCCGAACATTATGTTGAAAAGAAGACCGGCTACAAACCCTAAACCGTAGCCTCACAGTATACGGATTTTGTTGGGATGCAAACCCTGAATGCTCGGTGGCAAACCCTCCACTACACCTAGGAGATGTTGGTCAAACGGAGATGACAAAGATCGTGGTTGGCAAACCTCAAACCCCAGAAGGAGAAGATATTGTTGAAAATCATTAAACCGTCGCCTTACATTATACAAAGTTTTTTGGGCTCCAAACCCTGAACGTTCGGTGGCACGTCCTTGACGGTTTGACAGAGATGCTGGCAAACCCCAAATGCAGATGATGTTGGTTGGCAAACCCTGACCATGACTGGCAAACCCTGACCATAATTCGATCATGCTGAAAAGTGGGTTCCTCAAAAGGGGTAGCAAGGATGTCGACTGTCTGTCCAACCAGGCATGGCCTCAAAGACGGGCACACATCATTGGGCCGGCTCCAGTTCTGTAACAGATGATCAGTGTTGGCTCAGTCTGCATCCTTCTACACGAAGGGCAACGATACGGCCCCCAGTAGGCCTGAGCATTATGCAAATTGTGGTGGGCCATGGCGGGAACCGTGAACTCTGAGAAGGAGATGTTGGCTGACATCCCCGAAATGCCAAACGCAGGTGATGTTGGCTAGCTAAACCCTAGAAGAAGCCGTTGGTTGCAAAGCCCCAAACCCCAAAAAAATATGTTGGCTGGCAAAGCGCGAACCTTGAACGGAGTTGCTGGCTGGCAAGCCCGAATCGTAAAATGAAAAACTCAAAACAAATCCGTTTCCCCAAAGAAGCAATGCACAAGATGATGCAAGAAGATCGTCGCTGGCAAACTTCGAACCCTAAAATAAGAAAATATTGTTGCCGAGCCCGAAACCACAGCATTACATTATACTAGTGCTGCTGGCCCCCAAAACTGAATGTCCCATGGCAAACCCTCAACACTCAGAAGGAGATACTAACGCTCGAAAACCCGAACCTGAAACACAGAAGAACATCGTGGTGGCCACCAAACTCCAAACCCTACAAGAAGAAGATATGGTTGCCGCTCTTCCCGCAAACCCGTTAGGGTTGAGTTCTCGTTTAGTGCTCTAGCGCGAGGTGCACGATATGGAAGAGCTTTAGAAGACTAGTTTGTGGACGGACTTGGACGTGGGTGGTGGAATGACGGGAAGGGAGGGGTCAGACGGTGGCACAGGGGGGGTTGACATGGAGGATGTTTGCATCGCGCGGCTGATGGAGGGACGCAGCGCGCCATCGAGTTCGCGGGCGGATGTCGGGTGGAGGAGGCGTGGACAAGGCGGGGAGCGCGATGTCGGGTGCGTGGGGGAGGAATGGACAAGGTGGGGAGTGCGATATCGTGTGCGCAAGCGGTGCCCACGGCGGGGGAGACGTGCATAAGGGGAATGAGTGCGAAAAATCGGTATGCGACAAGGCAACATCGCGCGGATTTCCATTCTTGCATCACTTTCTTCAATGTGGATTTCGGCTTCCCGACTTGACTTTGTTAGAATGTACGGCGGCAAACCCTCAACACTCAGCAGGAGATGAAGACTCACGGCCCGCAAGTGATCACAGTCGCACGTGTTTTCCATCCACCTGCATCTGGCTACTTCATCCATAAACAAAAAGGGACCTCGAGACGGTTGGCATCGATCATTCGATGTCGAAACTTCTCGTCACTGCTTCGTCTTCCACTAGAATAAACCAACCATCCCGAAACACTTGTTTAGAGAGACCTGACGGAGCACCTTTCTTCGTAAGAACATCGACGATCATGTAATTGGTTGCCATCCATCTCAAACTGACATTGTATCGGCCAATGTCTTCCTTCAGAAGTAACATCTCTATGGCCATGCGCTTGTCCTTGATAGCCACAAGTGCGCTGTCGGTGTGGTCAAAGACAGGCTTGCAGTCGATCACAATAGTTATCGGAATCCTGCAACTATAGCTTCACCCACATTAACGAACCCACCTTGCTTCTGCTAACAACAGTTCAGCTCCCAGGGTCGAGTGTGTCTGCCTGTCCTGTTGGTAGCTCCGCGATCTCACATTGTAGAACCCTCCCCACCTGTTGGATGGAAGAGCCGAGTCACATGCAGCAATCATATAGCCAGCTGGTGAACAGAAGTCTTTCCCATTCGACCAAGCAGCATCGGACCACATGACGAACTGCACATGATCGGCAGGAATGGACTTAATCCAGATGTGAGCATCTCTATCATCATGAGCCACGCTGACAAGCTTGCTCACTTTAATCAAGCCGGACACGAAAGCACGAATCACCTTCTGTTGCATCAATGAGCTCCAAGCAGCAAGATCAGGACGGCTACCGTTCACAGGCCAGAAGCCCTCCCAAGACTCCTTGCATTTGTTGTCTTCTTCCTCCGCGATCTCTTCTATCTTCTCGCGCCTACGCTCACGAGAAACCTGGATTCCTCGGACGTCCTGTGCATATGCCTTCTGCATGAGGAAGTCCGCCCGCTTTTTGTTTCAAGTGTTTAGCCAGGAATTGTCCTTCTCCCTGCTTCCAATGCTTTAAACGGAAACATCTCTCTCTCAAGGGTTTCAGGACACTGCTTTCAAAAGCACTGTTTGCAGCAAGACACGGGTTATCGACACGTGAAGCCACTACACCTGCCACCTGACCAGCATGATAGTAGTAAACCATACATGGGTCAAACCGAGAAGCCCTAAGTCCTAGTCCTTCCAGCCGCTTGCTGAAGCACTGCCACCATGCCTTTGGCGCACTGCCAGTCCGTACACTGTCCACCACGCAACCCGGTTCAAGTCCGTCGATGCCTCCCGGAGGAACCTCAATGAACAAATGCTCCTTCACCGGCAATCTGGAATCTGGATCGGCCACTTCGTCGACGCAGTGAAGCGCCAACGCTAACCCCTCCCGTGACAAAGTTGGAGCACACGTGTCCAATGACAGCAGATCGGGGTCCGAGTACCCTCGTATACACCATCTGGCCTTCAAATCTGAAGTCTCCTGCGACGACCCTGGTTCAGCCTCTGTCACAACAATCGTGACTTAAGACACCGCTCCTTAGGAGTTGCTCAGTTGCTCGTCGAATCTTGTCAGCTGTGAGCAACAATCGCTCCACTCGACACTAACTTCTTCCACTCCTTCAGTTTGGCAGCTCCTGGATCTTCTCGCCGAGACTATGGCGCCTCATGTTCACTCAACTCCTTCCCTCCTTTCTTGCTGGCAACCTCCATGCAATCAAGCGCGGCACCTTTCCATTTCTTCAGACTGCACTCTGTCTTGCCTGTCCAGGCATTGCCTTCAGGCACCTGGCTGGCACCTGGACTCCATGGCCTCGCGCTCGCCTCTTTGTTTCCACAACGAAAGTACTTCATGCACGCACACTGCCTTTCCAAGTCTTTCAACTCAACAGGCAACACACTTTCACACGGAGTGTAATCAACAACCCGCTCAGTAACATGCACGTGCACCAACTTCCGACACCTATGATCAAGCACCCAATGGTCCTCTTCGGAAAACAACACTTCAAGATCATCATCTGATCCTCCTGGCACTGGTATCTCACGGGCACCAGTGAAATCATCTGGCACTTGATTACTCCCCCGTGGACTTCCTCCATCAAGCAACTGAGGATAAGGACGCATGACACGCACCAGCGGTGTCTGGTTTAAAGTCTCGCTAACTATCCCGCGGACCACCATTGGCACGATCAACGTGCATGGGCATGGCACCCACAGCCTCTGGCTCTACAGCCTGATTGTTTTGGCCAACATCCTCAATCACCAGGGAGCAACGCACCTGTGCCTCTCGCCAGGCAATTCCTTCTGTTCCTCTTCAACATCTGGCGGCCTTTCCAGCATGCTGAAGCCAAGTTTTTTTCATGCGCCACGCACACTCACAACTTCACGCATCTGCACCATGTCAGTCGGAAGCATTCGCTTCTTGATCTGGGCTCAATCTCCGGAACTGCTCTGGGAAACACCTATACATCATAAACCTTCGATCCACGAGCAATCCAGATTTTTGAACCGCTGCTACGCCCTATGATCACGCCTGGTCCATGCCAATGGTGCGTGTTGTCGAACCTGTTTTTGCGCCAAAAGAAGGCCAAATCTCCTTCATTGAAGGGTTTGCTTTCAGGTCGAGAACGATGGTCCAGTGACATTCTAATTCTCATTGCACTGTCCGCTTCAATCAAAGCCTTCCTTGCCTCCAAGCACATCTGCATCCTTCTCTCAAACAAGATTTCACCCTGCACAAGTGACGAGTTCGTGAGAGGATCATGGTCATCCGAGAACATACCTGGCAGCCGCACATCTCTCCCAAACACGTGTTGATTAGGAGCAAAACCACCTTTCCTCATCATGGAGTTGACAGCAATGTTCACGCCGTCGATGAGCTCCTGCACCTCCGCCTTGGTCCTGGGCCCCTCGTTTCTAGCACGCAGATTGCCAAATGTCGCCACGCTTCTCAGCAACCCTCTCACTTCGTCCAAGCTGTCATCTCGAGGAGCGATAACCACGTCGACCTGATCACCACGCTCGGCCTGGAACACCTCCAGCTTGTCGATGGGTTCTCATCCAAAAAGTGCTCATAGTCGAGATCCTTCCATCCAGACGATGCACCCTCAGCAAACACAGCATCCTTCGCTGCACCGGACGCATCGCCACCGTTCTTATTTTTTGGGCACTCCTTTTTCCAGTGTCCACGTTCATACACGGGTGACATTTTGACCTCTGCTTGAGCTGTTCGATGCGCCCCTTCACTGTTCCTGTCAACGTCCACTCTGCCCGCTGGCTGACCGGGCGATATCCACGTCCCAACTTACGTTGTTTTACTTGGCGGAGCACTTCCTTGCAGGTCTCGAAGACGTTACGGGCATATTCATCATCATACTCCGGAATACTCCGGATTATTCTGGACCTGGTCGGCCACGGCCTGGTGGACATCATTCACTTCTTCCGGACCAACGCCCTCCTAATTGCCCTCATTGACCTCTGTCTCGAAGACCTCCTTGATCTTTGTGGATGATCCATTGGCAACGGCTGGCGGAAAGATGTTCGTCACTGCTTGACCAACATCGGCATACTCCAGCGATCCCTTCGTGTGAGTCAGAATCATCGCCTCAACATTCGCCTCCATTCCCAGCTTACGCAGCCAAAACCACCCACGCATCTCTTCAGGAATTTCCACACTGTGTTCTTGGAGCCTTCTGTATGCCGTCTCCGGTCTCACCACCAGATTTGCGCAAGAATTCACCTGGTTTGATGGTGACTCCATAGAAACACTCCGCCAAGTGCTTGTGCAACGCATCCTTGTCGAGCTCCTTGTACTTTGCATCCAAGACCTCGAGCACCATGGTGTGCCCACCCTCCTTCGTCAATTTCTCCATGGGGATGGTTTCCACCGCCTCTTCAGCCCCTCCCCCAGGAACTCCATGAGCTTTGCGCCCCATTTTTCCTTTGAGTAGGTCGGCAAAGCCATTAACATCAGCTCCGCCTTCCTTGTCCTGTTCCTGTGAGTCGCTGGCATGGCACCATCAAAGCTTCAAGCCTTGGCCCGTCGTCCTTGTATGATCCCGCCATCGCCTCGAACTTCACCACGGAGACCGCTCGGCCAAGCCCTCTCTATACGGGTGGCCTTCCAGTGCTCCGCTACCACCTGGAGACTCACGGCCCTCAGATGATCACAGTCACACGTGATTTCCATCAACCGGCATCTGGCTAATTCATGCGCTGCATAAACAAGAGGGCACCTCGAGACGATTGGCATCGATCATTCGACGCTCACGTTCGATCAAGACTGAACATGTGGTTTCTTCAAAAGGCTCATCGGGTTGTCAAACCCTAGACGATCGTGGCTAACCCAGAAAGAAAAAGATTGTGTTGACAAGTCCTAGGCCCTGAACCATAGCCATATATCGAGCAAATTGTGTTGGGCCACAAACCTTGAATGCTGGGTAGCAAACCCTCAACACTTAGAAGATGATGTTGGTTGACAAACCCGGACACCCCAAATGGAGATGTTGTCTGGCAAGCCCAAAACCTTAACAGAAGACATTGGATGGCAAAGCCCCAAACACTGGCTGGCAAAGCCCAAATCTCAAAAGGAGATGCTCGCAAACCAAACCCTAATAGTTTAAAGGTGTTGATTGGCAAACCCCATATGCTATTCAGTTCCTCTGCACTTCTCTTCAGGATGCCGTGGGGCTGGGCAGCAAGAGGAGCAATCGCACCAGCGAAAGAAGATGAAAGTAGCAGCAGCAGCGGCAGGAGGATCAGGAGCAGCGGCTTTTCCGAATTTGGCCCTCAGCGCGTGTCGAATCTGTTTTCTGAATCCACGACCCGTCTTTCTCAATCGGCCCGCCTGGTTTGCTGAGTTTGTTCCCGAGTGGAGGGCGACCCTTTTTAGAAACGCACTGCTGTCCAGATGCATCCTTCGCTTCCCGAAACCGAAGACCTGCCCTACAGTTCCCTCAGCTGTATGTGCCGAAACGCTCTTGCCAAGTCAAAGCTCCTTGCGAGCACGCCTCTCCTGCCCATTGCTCGTCGACTTTGGTGGGATCAATACCAGCCTGAGTTCGTGTCTTATGTGATGATGCCTGCAGGTGAAACAGAAACTCTCCCACACCGTATCTGTCAAGGAGCAGCACGCATTCGGAGCTCATCGCCCTTCTGCCTCTGGGCTTCACTCCTGGAGGCAAGACGTGAGGACGAGACAGCCTGTTGTCGGTGTCTCTGTCAACCGTGCCTGGAGATCATGACCCCACTGCTGAAGGAAGCCATCTTGACTGACTTTGATGTCATTTCACGTTCAAGCTCTCGCGGTGCGTGTGGTGCTTGAGTCAGGGTTGGGTTGCATGCATTTCAGTTCAGGGTGCTGAGGCTTCACGCAGGGCAGCAACAGGAATTGGTATCTCGTTCTGAGAGTTTCACAGGGCCCGCTGCTAACTTGGCAACTGCCTGGATGAGTCGTTGGACATGTCAAACGTCTTCGAACGTGTTGATACTGAGACACTTGCACGGGGATTCTGGCATCCTAGTCATGTTTCGAGCAGCTGATTCCAGCGACCGGCAAACGGCTTGCTAAACAGCCAACATCCCTATGTCCTATGCTATCGGGCAGATGCAAACGGAGTCGTCTTGCAGAGTGGCTTCGGCTACTGGGCAAAAGGAACTTCGTGAATAAGCACAAGGTCACTAGGCATGATTCCTCAACTCTTGGTTTTATCGGGGTTGAATCGGATCCATCCGATACGTCGACGTGGTTTTCTCTTCTTCACTGCACTAACCGTCCGTTCCCAGACTTCCCGACTTTTTCGCCATCGCATGCCATCAGCACAGACTGTGTGGAGGCCTGCACCATAAGGCCCCAGCAGTGCATCCACGTGACTTGTAGCTGCAGTTAGCGAAAACAGCTACCTCTTGCCAAGGTCTCCGCAGGCCGTGCCTTCGCGGAAATCACGAAGAAGCGGCTTCCTCAGCCGCTTCCACATCGGCCTCCACGGTCCCCTCCGCAGGCCGGCAAGCCGCCGGCAAGCCCAAAACCCGACGACTTCAAAAGGACTCGGCAGCTCTGCAGGTGGTCCTTCTCCAAGCCCTTCACACCATCGCCCTTGTCATCTCCATCTTTTTCCCTGCTCGGCGCGGCACTCATGTCTTTTGTGAATCTGTGACCAAAAAAGATCAAGCCCCCGACACTTCCACGAACTCGCTGCGGTGCGTCATCCGAAAAAGCCCGGCTGCCAGGAGCCCGCCGAAAAGCTCCGAAACGAGTAAGGCCTGGCAGTGTGTCTTTCGTCTTACATGAGATGCAGGTGGCCCGAACCCTGGTCATGAACTCGCGTTGAGGTGTTGACCACCCAGCTTCCAACAGGACCCATGCCTGGGATGGGGACTTGGGTGAGCCGTCTTCAAACCTTTACGGTCCTTCAGTCAAGTTGCCGCCTTTGCCTCGGCAAACGCAGGACTTGCAGGGAAAGACAAAGTACACCAGAAAGGGTGCAAACGGCAAAAAGCTGTGTCTAAGAGAACAAGCCGGATCCTCCTGAGCTGCGCCAAGCAGCCGGGGTTCACCACGTTTCCAATCATCAGGCCAAGGACCACAGACGGATTAAGCTCACCTAGCCAAAGGCTCGTGAACTGTGTGACTGCCAGCAAAATCCTGCAAAGCTGACATTTTGCTGTAAAAACCTTTGACTTGAGGTTCAACTTGCTGGTATGCCAATGTGCCTCTGCGAAGTCATAGAAACGTGGAGTAGGAGCATCGATTCAGACAGAGGTGGTAAAGCCACATAAAGGGTGAAGAAAAAGCTGTGATCAACTTGCTTGCCTACTGCTCGCACAAGGCTTGTTTTAAGAACCTTTCTGCCACAGCTAGCCTATCTGTCCGGGCCCCCCAACCTCCAGAGATGGAGCCCACTGCAAAGCTGCCACCAGTGACGGTTGAGGCAATGACGAGGCCAAACAGGTCTTTCGCATAGGGCTCCTATATGCACGTCGAGAAAAGTATTCCCGAGGTCCAAGGTGCAGACAGCAAGCTGTTTTCATCGTGGTCCCTCACGGTAGCGATGCAGAGGACAACATAGCCCAGAAACCTCAGCTGCAGGAAAGCATGCAGACACCAAGAGACCAGCTTATGTATAGAGCAGCCACATTGACCCTGCAATGAAGCCCTCCGCAGGATCGACTTCGCTTCAGTGACCAGAATTGAAATGCAGATATCAGGCGAGGGTCATCGTGGTGATTAATTCCGCGATCGATGCCTCTGAAAGAGCAATTGCACAAGACATTCGGTGTTTCTAGGAACACTACTCTTTCCCAGAAGTGCCAGTCAGGAGTAGGCAGCAGCTAGCCAGGCCAATATTCTCTAGTCACCTTCGGGTACCGAACAACTGAATGGCTCTTCCACTCCACGGTCAGAGGCCTGTGCCAGGTCGAAGCCCCTTCCCGGCACCAATCTGGGCACATGCTCGGTATGAAGCGATGTGCATCACCAGGATCACTACCATGCCGTGAAGGGTTGTCAGTACTTCGTCAGCCAGTGGCTTGATCGACTTGTCCGCAACTGCGGAGCCCATGTGGTAGGCAGCGTAAACCTTGCGAGAACAGTGTACGGATGTGCATGGAGAAAGCATCGCTAAAGAATTGGGCACTGCTGCATATGTGTCTCGGTGCCGTCCGAAGAACACATCCCGCGAGCAGCCCGCCAACAATCTGGGCCGTGATGTAGCCTTCCGGATGGGCTTGCTCTTTAAACTCGCGGTCTCAGGTTTGAGGAAGTCACTGCAGCAAAAAGGATGGTTGAACCAACTGGCACTGCGTGCACTGAGCGATGAACTACACAAGCGAACGGTCGAGATGGGGGATGTATGTGTGTCCACAACCAAGCCTGCTGCGTCACGTCGCGATATTCTCTCACGGCCTCCTGCAAGCACTGCCAGAGTCACCTGGAGGCACCAACCAACGGCAAGTGAAGGTGTCCGCTTCACCAAGAAAGCTTTCTAGCTCTTCTTTCTGGCAAGTATGAGAAGGCGATTGCTCATGAAGTATTTGTAACAATGACTCGCATATTTCTCCCACTGCTTGATTTTGCTTCCTCTGCTTGCACTTAAAGGCTTTATGCTAGCGGCTAGGGCAACTAAATTGCATTGACATAACGTTGTGGTGTCTGGGCTTGCGGCCGCCGGATTGAAGTGAGCTCCGGAAACATTTCCAAGCGAGTAGATCATGCACCTGCCAGCGTGTGCGGGACACTGCAGTCTACAATTTGCCACCAGCATAGCACGTCTCAGAAATCGCAGACAAGGCACATGAGAGCCGCAGCGGCAGAGTACGCTGTGGCACGAGACCCGCTGACCTCGCAGCCCCCGAGAATCTCAAGCTGAATCCAACCTGTCCAACTTGGAAATTGGACAACTCAAGCCCACAAAAACTTGCGGCCTCCAACATCTACTTCAGACAGAGGAAGGCAGTAATCAACGCAACACACATTCAACTACGAAGCCACAGAGGCAACAGGAAGCCTTAAATCGTAACAACAAGGCTTGGCCGAGTGGAAAGCTAGTAGATGTTAGTATCATGCTTCGTTCTGAAACCGTCAGAGCAGGATGCGATGTTCAGGCCGACCGTCACTACCAGCATGAAGGTGCCGAATGCTTCCTGCAGGAACGATGCATCGGTTTCATCAGACTTCAGGACTTCAGGATCCCCCTCCCCATGACAAAAGACAAGGCACAGCCAAACAACACGTCTTCAGATCTGGCCGATCAGCCGTGGACTTCCCGAACCTCAGCATCCACTGCAGGAAAGCCCATGCATGGTTCGAAGCCCGTTTGCGGCGAATTAATCGGAATGGGCTTTGCTACAGCATTCGGACGGCTCGCAAAGACTCCGACATCTTCTGCGACTCAAGGCTACAACAGTGGTTTGCGTGATGAACCTGGGCTGAGCTGAAGGTACTCGTGACAGTATCGGTAGGTTCTGCTTCTCGTCTGGGCAGCTCCTCTGGCCGCAGTACTCGATAGGCTCCAGCAGCCAACGCAGCGCCAGCGAGCTCGGCAGCAAACCAGACCAGTGCCCAGTGAGGATCCTTGCCGCTGCCGAGGCCCAGAGGAAGGGAGACTGCTGGGTTGAGCGCAGCGCCAGAGATGCGCCTGAGTGAATATTGCGACATGTCCAAAGCTGCTGAGCTGGGTTTTGTCAGACTACTCTTAAGTTGAAAAACGCGCATGCACACAAGACCCTCTCCTCTCGGCCAAGAAGCCCAACAGCATGGCCACCAGCCAGGACAACAAAGCCAATGGCCAGGCCATAAAACCTGAGCTCGTGAGCTCGTGAGCATTCGTGAGCTCTGGAGCTTCGTAGGAAACTTGCAGAAAGGAAACTCCCAAGCCTACTGTAGCGTTTTAGCTGATAGCCTCGCCACGGTCACAGTGCTAGACTAATTGCTGCCTGTACTTCTGAGACGTGCCGAGGACGGCCCCCCATTAATTCTTGTCGGAGCTGATTTGGCGTGTTCTTCTTCGCCACAGCGCAGCACAGCACAACGAAGACAAGCATGGCCTCAACCACGAGATGCATATGGCTGCATGACATGGGTGGGGTCCTGGCTTCGAGGTTGAATTGAGTCAATGATCTTTGGTCTTAGGGCGGTTCAGACTGTGGAACGCTCAGTGTCCAGCACTCGATCCCCATTGTCCTGAGTTCCATGCCGTGTACAGCAGCTCCCCGCCAGCCGCCTGCGGAAAATACAACCGTGCTTCGCAGGCTTTGGGGAGGCATGCTTCTGTGAGCGGTTTGGGGTACAGGTTCATCACAAGATACTTCTCTTGGACATGCAAGCACTGGCACTTTGGATCAGCTACAGCTTGGCAACATCTGGCAGCTAATCCAGTTCTCAAAGATTGAAGTATCTCACCCTAAACTGTGTACAGAGGCATTCTAGCGAGGACGTGATTTAACGCTCTTTGCAGCTATTCCGTTCCTGCACCTGGGTGCTTTCAGAATCGACAGGCGTATCGCTGTGTCGAACTGGATACAGGAAGAAACAAACACACCGGGCGATGCAAACCGAGCAGTCTTCAGCAAGCTCCGATAGGCATGTGGATGGCAGAACTTGCAGCTTATGTTGCCCCCGTCACCCAATTTCAGGGTCTCCTTAGCAAAGAAATGAGCATGTTCGTTTGACTTACTTTGGATGTGTATCGACAAAGTCCAAGTCGAAGGAAACACCGCCTCCTGAGTCCTTGCTAAGTCCCGCTGTGCTCTGCAGCGTAGAATAAAGAACAATGGCAACCTTGCCACCACTCACTCCTGACACCCCCACCCCCGCCCCACCCCCACTGACGCAAGCTACTCTTGAAGAGGAAATCATCTATCTCGCAGAGGAGAGGTTTCGTGACTTGGGGAGACTCGCGATTCTTAGCCAACATGTGCACCGGGCTTGTCGGACGACTTCAGGGCCTTTGGAAACGGAAGAGACTGACAGGAGAAACTTGCATCGTCACGAACTCGGGCTGGGACGTAGCCGGCGTTGAAGGGTGGCACGGGTGCCACAACCGCCAGGTGGGGTGCACCTCGGCAAAATCGGGCTCGATTTGAAGCAAAGACTGTGTGAAAGAGATTCCTTGTAGCCTGCATCGCCAACACGTTCCGAAATCTCGGATGGCCTGACCTAGGACACGACATGCTCGTGGAGCAGTGTGTAAGGCTGCCAGGTTGCAGACGATCTTGTAGACGGCAGCGGCCGTGAAAGCCCCCATGAACTGGAAGAGCCAGTACGCCACCATCCCACCAAAGGACCTCTCTCTTGACTCTGAGACCGGGAGAAAGTGTCTGGAGCCTCTACCTTGAGCTTGCCATTTCACAGCTTCATTGATGGGAAACTGCTTAGCCACTGAGACGCATCGAAGTGAGCCAAAACGCTCGTCGATGGCCTGAGCATAAATGGCCAAGAAGCTTCTTCCCCAGCAAGGTCATCGCGAAGGTCACCGCCGGGTTAAGATGCCTCAATGCAAGCTTGAAGATGGGCTGCACAGGGATCGGGGCAAGGGGGCCGCTGAAAAATGAAGCCATTGACCTGACACGAAGAGCAATGAAGGACTTCATGCAACGGAGGGCCGAATCTCCTGCGAGCTACGTCTGTCCACATCGGAGATTCAAACCCGGAAGAAAGCCAGGGAGAACACCAGTCCGTGCCCTGACAATTCTCTGTCGTTTTGTCTTGATTCCTCGAATGAAACCTCTCCTGCACATGTGCTCTGAAGGGAGAGGTGTGTCGATTGGCTCGGCCCCGTGACGGAACCAACCCCGCCCATTACCGTCCTTTTTCTCGGAATCGTCTGAGGAGCTGCATGCCCGTGCGATACGCACCATGGACAGTCAATGCAGCCGCAATACCCACCCGAGATCGGACCCGTGGCGTAGATCATCACCATCAGCACCTGGCTTGAGATTGTGGGGGGGCGCTCCATCAAGGAAAATGCACTGCACAGACATTTCTTCTTGAGGCGTGCTGGAATCCGAGGCACCGAGGCAATCGAAGTTGCAGACCATGGAGACGGCGTGGGCGAAGTAACCTCAGGCTTCATTTAAAGACTCGTAGTTTTGCCTTCGCCATCTAGCCGTCTTAGCCGACATTGGCTTAGCTTCGTTGTTGTGTTGCCTCGTCCCCATGGCTTTGCTCGTATTGCAGTCTGGAGTTGCCAACTACTTGTAGGACCAGGAGTTCTCAGTCTCAAAGAAACACTGTCGTTGCCGACATCAAGCCCTCGCCAGCCGAAGCCAACAAGTGCGACTGTTCTCAGGGAAATCAAGAAGTCATACTTCTATATACAGCACTGTTGGGACCGGTGGCGACGCATCCGACCGTGAATACCAGCGCAAACGTACCAAGACCTGTGCAGCTGGTTGCAATCTGATGCACATTCACGTCTCCTCCAACAGATGACCAGCACCAGCATACGTTTGGTAAAAGAATCACCCTGGCTCTTGCAGATCTGACAAGTCCCCTAGCCACATCCTGCACAACATCAATGCCAAATCATGGCCCTCGAGCCGTGCTCGGAAACTCCGCCACCAGTTGTAGCGCGGCCCCATCACCTAGTAGCCTGCTGCCCTTGCCCGGCTGCCTTCTGCAAAAAGGGGCGCCAACCTTCGCAGTGCTCTCAAATCTGCGTACGAACCAGAAAGAGCCCTCAATTGCAGGAAGTTTTGAGGATGTTCTCATGTGCTCCAGACATCATGACTATCTCTCGGCTTTTCTAAAGGCCATGTAGCATCTTTTTTCCCTGATTGATCCAGTTCGACCCGGAAAAGACCCTCTAAAGTGCGGCTGGAATTCCCCTTGAGAAACGCGTTCAAGATGATCTTCATGTACTCGTCGGCATTGCCTTGTGCAAGCTCTTTGACATGTCGGTTCCCAGAGGTCCGGGATGGAAGATAGATTTTTGCACGGCCCAATGTGACGCACTGGTACTCTATGCAAAGACAGTGTAAGATGACTCCCCCAAGACATGACAGAACTTCTGAATTTGTTCACACGCAGTGAATCCGGTCGCTTGCCTCTAAGTCCACTAGGTCTCATGTTATCGGTACCTTCCTAAGTGTGAACCTGTCCGCATGCTAGCTTGGGACTGCGTGGCCGAGAGGCGCATCACTTCATTCAGGACCTCCTCTGGAGAGAGCCGCGGCCCGTCACCAGCCTGCCTAAAAGGAGGACTCAAAGCGCCTGTTTGGCTTCCTGTGCAGGGTTCGCATCTGTTTCACGGCCTTCCCTGACCATCAGCAGCCGGGGTCGAGCCGTAGGCAGCATCTGCTTGGCCTGAGGCGTACACACACACACACACCAGGCGCAGTGCAACGACAAGCGGCGCCGAAACCGGACAAACCACACCGAAACCCTTCAAAAGGAAGATGAGAACTGCAGCTTCCGAATCGGACCTTCCAGAAGGGCTCGCTCAGGAGCTTCAGCGGACTGTGCAGAGGCCATTGCGAACCTCGATGAACCTCGGTACCCAAGCTGCATCTCAAGCCGTCCCCTCATCACTGTTTGCGACAAAAGTGCCTGTTGCAAAATGACTTGTATCACCAGCCCATCCTGTGACGGGACTGAGATGGGCAAGAGCAAACATGCGGTCAGGGAGCCAAGTTTCAGTCAGCTTCGTGGGTTTTCGAAGCGTTGCTTGCGGTTGAAAGCTCAAAGCTGCGGATGAAACGACGCTGATCAGTGGGTTCGGGGCCCGGCCCGGGCGATCATGAGGCCAAGAGAAGCTTAATCGTTAGTTGAAACCGCACATGCAATTTTGCAGTGTCGAGCAGTTCTCAAAGCACGAGAACTCACTCGACATTCCGTGCTGCAGGCGCACACTAAGAATGGTTTGAGTCCTTCTTCTTTTTACACAGCGCTGCGAGTTGCCCGAATTGTGCAAGCAGGCCATTGAGGCTTCTTTCCATGTCGGGCTTTCTATAGATTGCAGCGTGGTGTATGGCAAGCTTGCCTCATCACGCGGATGCATTGGGGCCAGGGCTTGAAAACGTTCAGTGTTGCGGAGGGCGATGTCTTCCAAGGCAGGAAGTTTTGCCGGAATTCCCACATATTCACGCCATGGCTGCTGCTCTCAAAAGATCATCCAACTTGTTCACGTGCTGGCCGGAAAAGCCCAATTGGCTTTGCCGCTTGCAGCCCCTGCTTTGCAGTACTCCTGAACTGTGCACTTCCAGCTAGTACCCTGGTCTGCTTCGCACAGTTCATGCACCGGCTGTTTTGAGACTATCCTTGTAACAGATGGAAACTGACCAGGTCTCATCAAGTCGACCGCCCAAGTGGCAGCAGGTGAGATGCAAGCAAGGATCATCAACATCACCTGAGCCCAAAAGGCAGGCTCTGCGGCACGCCGGCAAGATTCACTGGACTGTAGGTAAACCACCGCCATCACAACCATGCTGCTCTATCTCGCTGAGGTCCTGACACTAGTGCCGCTAGTCACGCGTGTGCTGCGTAAGCCTTCACGGGAACCATTAGATGCGTCGACGCTGCGTGGGCTTACTCCAGAACAAGTTTACGAGACTGTATCTAGCAGATGACACCGGAAGTAGCCCCTAATGCTGCACCACTTCGTGCAGGTTCACTGGGTCCCCAAGCTGTTTGACAGCCGACCAAGAGGTGTAGACAAACAGCACGAAACCCAGGAGAAGCACAGCTCCACCCAGCGCCTCAGCATTGATGTCTGCAATGCTTGTGTCATTTCGGCGCACATGGACTCAATGGTGTGCAAGGAAGAACCAGTGGTGCACATGGACTTCCTTCGAAAAGCAGGAGCCGGACGCTCTCCACTTTGCCAGGTTTGCAGATCTGAACGAAAGGATGCAAGATTGGAAGCACTGGGTTTGGTGGACTTGGACATTGTGGCGTTTCGTCAACTATGTAGGTTACGGCACGGTCCAGCAGCTGCACCTACAGAGGGAGACACAATCTGCACCGCCTTGATGTAGCAAATGATGGGAAAAATGAAAGCCAAGGGCACCTTAGGCACGGCCCAGTCTCACGCCAGAAACTCCGAAACAGAGTGTTCGGAACTACATCTGCACGGCATCTAGGCCCCTGGCACAGCAAAATGACCCAATCAATGAGATAAAAGCATCAATTCGATCTTTGCCGAAAAGCGAGATGACGGCCTCATCGGCAGGAGTTTCCAGCAGTGTCAAGACTCATCAACATCCAAGCATCGAGGCAGGAAAGCCTAGAGCAACTCAAGGAATGTGCACAGATTCCGGGAACATAGTTTCTCCAGCAGACCAACCACACAGGCTGGTTGCTTTTGCCGCTGCGAAAGCTCAGGACTTGGCGCAAGTACAAATCAAAAGTGTCCTGGCACGAGATCTGTTCTTCGAATGAAAAGCACGCAGTACTCAGCTTCGATCACCACTCATCGCTGAGTTCAACAGAAGTGCAGACGACTCTTCACGCAGCCTCATGCTGTTGATCTTCAACAGCGTCTGAGGACCTGAACACAAGTGTCGACATGCATGAACTGCAATGGCCCCCGGCATCCCAGTGTTGTGCATTGCAGTGGGCCCTTCGCCCAAGGCTATAGCCAGGAGTTGAGACAGCCCCGAAGAGCAGTGTTTCCAGGAAAGTAGCCGCCTTAGCGCTTCGTGCATGCCTGGTTCACACAGGCCCAAACTGGAATGAAACATCGCGGTGCAGCTGGGCCGTCCGACTGGGAAGAGGAACAGAGGCACATTGAACCTAAAACTTCAGCTAACACCACGAGCAGGTCAGTGGCTGCGTTGCGACTCCAGAGAGTGGCTCGTACTCGCAACTCGCTTAAAGGCGACGGAGCCACACAGCTTTAACAACCAGGGGAACCGCACTCGTTGCTGTGCTGGAGGTCTGGGGAACAACTTGGTCTCCCGCAGTGATGCCAGGGCAAAGGCAAAGGGAAGCACATGCCCGACCCTGGTGCCCCTGCGAAAACAAGAACAGCTCAGAAGCACTGCCATGCCTTACTCACGTGGAGATTTATGCCATCAGCTTCTTGGGCCCTGACTTCGGCAGGTTCAATGTGATTACGTCCCTGGCAAGGTGCACTGCATGTTGATGCCTGGTGCATGTTAGTGCGCGCAAGATAAGATATGCAAATACCTCACTGAGGCTGCGCTGCACACACCGTAGTCACAACTAAGGTGAGTGCAGCACACCAAACACTTACCATCAACCGGTGGAGCGATAAGAAACACTTGCGACACAGCTACACTACACGACTGTGGGGCAACGCCACCAAAAGCGCAGTGGCAGTTGCCACCTGGTTTCTTCACCGTAACGGAGGTAGTTCACAGCTCCGAACCTCCAGGGACAGACAGTGATAGCACGAGCCGGGATCTTTCCGTCGAACACCTTCCAGCGATGTAAGCCCCGGGCACGATGAACAAGACGCAAACGCCTCGTCCGGGCTGCGGACTACGCAGGATCTGAACTGCGAGATGGCTGACACAAAACGCACCAGGCAAACGACGGCACTGAATACAGCCAAGCTTCCAAGCAAAGTTGCCACAAGAATGGGAGCAAACCTGTCTTTGGCACGTAAAGCTGAAAATGTTGCTCGCTGTCCAATTCAGCCAGTCTTGGGTCAAATTGAACCGACTGCAAACGAAGACCTCCTCGCAACTTAGGTCTCAGCGTTTCTTTCTGCTCGTGGGCATCGTACCTCAATGAACCACATCTAATCTCGCACTTCATGGAGCCCCAACTCTGTTCGGGCCGCAAGCATTGGAATGACAAAGTTGATGCATTCGAAGGAAAACACCACCGTGCCAGCGAAAACCATCCAGTTGGGACCTCGCAAGAGATTCGTCGGGTCTCGGTCTACTTTACAACACGACACAGTCTGCCAGCGACGACGAAAGGGCCCAGCCAGCCAGCTGAATGCCATGGCCAACCTCATCGCCTGTCACAAGCCCGAATTGAAGCGTGGCGATGCGAAGCGTCTTGACTTTTCTGTGCTCACTTTCCGGCTGAGGCCCCAGGCCAGCCAAGCCGACGATCGCGTAAGTCAGCCTCGGATCCGACATGCCAATGAACGGGAGCTGTCATGAACCCTTTACGATCAGCTTGAAGTGTCTTGAGGTGCCCGCAAGATGGCGAGGGCCAGGAGGACCTATCACGACAAGCTTCCAAAGTATGCTCTGCCACTGCTAGGCTCTGCGACGTTGGCAAAACCCTCTGAGGAAAGGTCCGTGGTGTTTGCAATGAGGTTAGATACCTGGCCAGACCAGGTACTGCATTGAATGCGTTTCCACTGCCCCGCAACAAAATCGAATGCTTCTTGTGGCTCAGGCCTGGAAGTACTTGAGCTGCCGAATCCACGACATAGGGATCACAACAATAAGCTGAAGAAGGATGATGTTTGCTTCGGACCTGAGTCTCTGTGTGCTCAAGAGATACAAGTAGAAGAAATGCAGGGATACCCATAAAGTGGAGGAGGTGACAAAGGTGGCGAAGATGGACCATTATACAGCTTTCCAAGCTTCCAACCACATGGGAGATGACAGTTTGAGCGCCTGCACAGGCCACGACTGAACGAAGCCGAACATACCTGAGAGTCAAGTGTGGAAAAGTGCATGGTCCTTCAGGGCGCCGTGGCAATTGAGCGCCACATAAAGTATCTCAGAACCTGGGACACCGGCAGAAAAGTCTAGTCCAATGATGTTAGTTCACAGCTCATGTAGCTTTATGGCATCACTGGCTTCCATCCTCTCAGCTGCCGGCAGACGAAGCCGGTCTGGGAGAGCAGTATGCTCAGATCCACAGCCCAACTCCCGATCGGCCCTATGGCACGCCTTCGCAGCTCGGGATAAGTCTTCGACAGAAGCAATGAATTCAGGCAATACGCGGCAGGCTGTTCAAATCTTCAGCATCCCATGCACTGAACAACATCAGATCCTCGTTTGCCTTCCTACACAACCAGAACTGCAGGAACAGCTGACTCAAAGGCAGATCTCGTTTGCAAACAGCTGTGCACATGCTGAACTCTGGCCTGGCTATGTCACCGTAGGTTCCGCCACCAAGTGCACGAACACACCTCAGAAAAGCAAAGCCAGACTCAGAGAGGAAAAATATGCAGGTCGTTCCAGCATGAAATCAATCCGGCAGTGCTGTCTGCTGCTTGTAGCATCTGAAATTGCAAGTGTTTCTGATACTGACTCACGCATCACGCACTCTCGCCGAGTGTGCCATCGTGAGGATCTTGCCTCACGAGGAGAACCATGCCTCAGTTGCAAAGCTGTCCCTGCCAGTCAACGAAAGTGCTACCGAGCAATTCCAGCTCTCGCTTCATTCTTCTTTTTGCACAGAGGCCCCCATAGCTTCATCCGGGGAACAGTAAATTTCAACACCGCCGATGAAGATCAGCTCCCTGGCGAAGACTTTCGGAAAGGCTAGTGTCCACTACCGTCTCGATAATAGTCGCCAGACTCACAAGGGAGCCAGAAGGATCCCCGTCCGCGAGAAAGCACCCGGGATGATGATCAAAGTACCACCTGAGAAGGACTCTCTGCAGGGTTGGGAGGCCTCAGGGGAACAAGTTCGAGTGACTCAGCGCTCAAGAAAAGACTAGCACTTCGCATGACATCAGCTGCAGGTTTTTGCAATAGCTCTGCACCTCACAGTCAGGGTCTGTGAACAAACGAATTGTCTGTGGCAGGCACCTGGCCAGCGAAAACAACGGATAGACATCTCCTCTACTTGATGAAACTTCGTGTAATCGAGAAATAGCGACTAGCTCCTTTCGTGAATTTGTCTTTCAGCTTGCAAGTAAAGGAGACGAAATGAAGATGTGTCCGCAAAAATGTCGAAGCCTGTGGATCGTCACTGGGCGGATCTTACTGTGCCACGAGGCGTATGCCAGCTGCAAGCATGGCACATTGCCCCTGAAGAGTTGAGTCCACGATGCTGTCATAAGCCGGAACTATGAGCTGACCGTGGACACATTGGAAAACGAGAGTAGTCTGCAGTCCTCGGGTGCTGTGAGAGCTTCGAGATAGGTCGACACCGACCGTGAAAATGCTCCTCTATGATGCCTCCGACTCTGCTGCATCGAGCAAAGCTCTGTCTTCGTCACTTGACACGTTTGTGGCTGTTGCATTGGCGACAATCTCCTGAGCCTCCATTGTTGGGGGAGCTGGGGCAGAGAACTTCTTCACCAACACATCCGGGACACCGGACTCGTCCCTGACGATCATGACCTCGTCGTCGAGGTAGGTCACCTTGCATCACAATTGCCGAACCTGCATTTCTACTGACCTACAGGTGTTCATCTGAGACAGCAATGCCCTTCGCCAATGGCTTCGGCTACTGAGCTACTGCAGCTAGCATCTGCAACACAGGGATACACATCGACTCCAGCCCTCTGGCTACAGAGCATGTCCTAAGTCCCCAAGCGCAGCGACGTGGCAAGGATGCTTCGGCGGAGCTCCAACGGAAGTTCTTGGCTTCCGATAGGCTCAGGCAGTTTCACGGAAACGACCTCCTCGCTCATTCTCGCCGAACTCAGGGGCATCAGCTCTGCCTTTGCGACACCGTGTCGCTCACAACCCCCTGCTGTGTTTTGCAGAGAGCACCCATAAAGCAGCACAGTAGCAGGCACGGCAAGTCTAGCATGCAGGGCGGTCCCCACTCACTCAATTGTCCGAGACTCTAGACTCAGCACACGCCCCCCTGGTCTGTGCGCGTCTGCTCTGCCGAATTTGTGTTGCATTAAAAACAAAGGCTGCTAGCCGTGGGTCTCTCTTTACCAGGTGGGGGGCCCAGGCAGCGTCCAGCCCTGAACCTCGCCGTCGGTCCCTGTCTCTCTCTCTCTCTCTCTCTCGGGCCTTGTAGTTCAGAGTCTCCTTTCGGCCCGCAACCTCGACCTCGGCGGATGCCTCCACGTCTCGACCACCGGTTATCTGCACCGTCTTGGACCCAAGTTTCACACCAGCTGTCTGACCCCAGAAGCCCTGGGCGAAGGAGGACAAGGCATTGCCAAGAGAGAAGCCTCCGCCGTACAAGAAGAGCGCCAGCTCACGCGTTGGGGAGGACAACAAGCCCGGTGCATATGAGCCGGTGTACTTCACCATCCAGGTACCGTCCATGTCCACAGAGTAGACGGGCTCCTCGTTGGTGTTTAGCCTCTCCAAGCGGATGATGGCCTCGTCCACTCTGCCGCGCATGGGTTTCCCTTCGGGACGAAGAACCTCTTCCTCTAAAGAGCTGTCCTCCAGGAGGTCCATCAGCCGCTCCTTCGCATCCTTCAAAGCACCGGTTGCCGCGGTTGTGACGGTGGGGGGCCCGGCCCGCGCTGCGAGCCGCTGCAGGCGGCTAGAACCGCTGAAGCCTGCCACAAAGCTCAGCGATGCGCCCACAAATCCTGCTGCAATGAGGGCAGACAGTGCAGAGGCTCCGCGACTTCTTCGCTGTGTCACCGCCATGTCACGGATGGAGTCCGACACCGGGGGCTGACAACTCGCAAGAGGCTGGAGCCCAAGCCCAAGCGCAAGAAGGATGAAGAGCCCTCAATGAGCTAACAGGAGGGACGGTAACCAAAACCAGTGCATCATCAACCCACACGAGAGCTTCCGACCCACAGTGGATTTGAGAATGACGAGCACCTCGACCACTGCAAGCGACGCCAAGGCCAAATGACCCAAACGATTGTTGCAACAAGTGACTTCTCTGTCCCCTGTGCGCGGCACCGTCGACAGGTTGGAGGCGCCAACACTAACCGTGGATGCCGAGGAGGACTCGGCCTGTGCGTACTGCAACCCAGAAGCCGGCCACCTTCCGCCCAGCTTCCCTTCACAGCCGCCTGCATCTCCAGATTCTTCGCAAAATAGTGCTGCAGCCGTGGGTCAAGCATCCTCAACCGATTCGGTAAAGCACGTTTGGAGTTTGGACCTCACGTTGGACTTTTCGGGTGTTTCTGAGTGCTGCACGACTCGAGCAGCGGTCGCTCCGCCGCGGCATTCGGTGCCCGGCGCCTGGAGAGATGACCAGGCGGCGTGGCGGCGTGGTCATGTGCGGCGCTGCCATCGAGGGGAGCACAAGACATGCTCGCGTCGGAAGCCACCTGGTTGTGCGATATCCTTGGAATCCGTGGATGGTCTTTGATTCCGCATGTTGCACCAAAGACTGGCAGATGAGGCCCCCCGGTTGCGAGCGCTCTTGGCCTCCGGCGCTGGCCCGGCCGAGCTCCGGAAACAAGGGCTCGACTGGCAAGCAGAAAGAGACTTCGAAGTCAGAGCCCAGCCCGGATGTTTCTCCGAATCCCAAAGGGCGCCATCCTGAAAAGACGGCAAGCCCTCAGCCAAGGGCCGCCTGGCAGCTCTGGAAGGCTCGGAGAGCGCTGACAGCGGACCTCCAGAGATGAGCACAGCTCGGTGCAAGGGTCCCCGTGGAATTCGAAAATAGCTCCGTGCCTGACAGTGCGCTTCAACGGGACTTCTGGCCCCCAAGTCGAATCCGAAGTGAGGCAGGGGCTGGGGAAGGTCTGCATAACCGGTGCATCTCAAGCACCATCCTTGCCTGGAAGTCGTCATTCTGGCTGAAAGCCTGCGCCTGTGCAGGGAGGCTGCTGTCTAGATCCATGACTCAATGTGGAATGCACTCTGCCTGGCCCTGGCGCAAAGAACCATTCCTACTCAGCGACTTCTTGAAGTCCCGCACGACTTCGTCCTGAGAACACTCTGGGTTGCATTTCCCACCCACATCATGCACAAAAGCTGCTCCCTCCTCTGCCATGGCTTTCGACCCTTCCTCTCAGAGGCAACGAGAGCGCCTCAGTCGCCGCTTGCGTTCAAGCTCCTGGGAAATTGGAACGGCCTGGCCAGTATAGGCTACATGGCGGTATGAGCTAGAATCAACAACATCGTTAAACTGCCTGCTGGTTTGGTATGGTTTGCTGGGTTTGCTGGTGTTCTGGCAACTTCGCAGCAGATGATCTTTTCCATGTTTGTTGAAGAAGCTGACATGCATGGAAAGACTCTGGTCTGCTCTCCCCTTGTGCTTGAGCCGCTGAAGCTCGACTTCGCACTTTGGAAGAAACGCTCCTGCGGCATCCGTCTTTGCACTTTGAATCTCCTTCTCGCCTGTGTTTCGCAACCAAGCAAGATGGCCAAGTGATTGGATTAAAATGATTTGGATCGTTCTTAACACGGCAGCGTCGACAGGCATCTGTGCGCTGCAGATTATACTCTCAACATTGTTGTCGTGGCTCGTGCTCCAGACTTGCGAGGATTTGATGTCGAACCATGTAGGTACGGGGTTTGGAGGGCCGCCTAGACCTCAGAGGTGGCAGCATAGGACCACCAAGGCTTGTGGAACCGTGCAGGACGGAGTCGGACAGACTGGCTACGGCATCATGGCCATGGCCTCCCTTCAAGCCGATCTGTCCTGGAGTCCTCAGATTCCTCTGTGAAACTGGAACATCCGTGTCGAATGAAACGACTCAGTAACTACTGCTGTTCAGACGCAATCAGGTGCCAGACTGTGACTCATCCGCTGCTGTCGGATGCTCCTCATCTTCATCTGGTACCTGAGAAGCTAGTGAAGAGACAACAAGCAGCATGCATCGCAGGACAGCAGGCCAGAGTTATGAATCCACGCAGGGAGCACAGAACCGCTACGATCCCCGTCGGAAGGAAGAGCAGAATGCAGGTGACCAAGGGCAGGTTCCAGTACCTGACGAAGTTCCGGAAAAGGAACTAGAACTCGTCGGCTGTCGCGCACAGCACATGCAGGAATCGGCTTCGTGGCTTGACAGCTGCGATTCTACAATCATGCTCACTGCTTATAGCAAGCTTGCTGCCGCATCCCGCCGTGACGCACGGTTGTCGCGAGAGGGGCACCATCTCCCTGTAGGCATCTCTGCAGATGGGATAGAGGCAAGCGGCGCCTCCTTGTTGTAACCTGACTACGCGGCTTCTTCCCAAGACTGGCACGCAAGGATCGGAAAACCATTCCGAGGGCAGAACCTTTCTCCCACGGACTCGGCATTTGGATCTTGGATGGAACACGCTGTGAATGGAAGAACTTTCATCTATTCGAAAGCCGAGTTTGTTAATTTAAAAAGTCTTACAGTATGATGCATTTTGCTCAGGCAACACGACAACTTCGGCAGATTCTTCAACTCAACGGTTGGATTCTGCTGCATATTGACCAATTGCAGAAGAGAAGCTCCGCCAAACAAAGCCAAAGGAATGAAGGACAGCATCGGCAAAAAGTAGCATGTCAACACCTTGACTGCCCGTGAAGCATCAACCATCCAATTACACGACAACACCAGCACCAAGCGCAAGGCCTATCGATCCCCTGCGTGTCTAAACACATGTCGTTTCTCTTGTTGGGATTTGTTTGCTGTAATTTCGCGGTGGCATGTTCCTAAAGATATACTTTTCATTACTATGTATGACGGAAGAGCACGACCCGCTCGTCTGATGATCACAACTCACACTCTGGGCAGCATGCCAAACACAGGAGCCGAATGCCACATCTCTGGCAAAAGTTCAGTTGCCTGAGTGTGGTTCAGCATTATTGGTCCAAGCTGTGCAAGAACACTTGCTGTTTTCGCTTCCATAAGGACCGCTGCGGGCCGTCGTCCACATCGTCGAGGTCGCCGATGTCGCCTGCGGCACGGGATGCCCGGGATGCATTCGGATCCGGTCGCGGTCACGAAATCATCAGTACAGCGACAAGTGCACGTTGTCTCGCAGGTAAACATTGTCCATCCATTCCCGCTCACGTCTTCCTAGCCTTGGCTCTCCATCTGCAAATATCTTCCACCTTCTTCCCGTTCACATTCCGCCATCCTCAAAAAGCATATGACAACAAAAGAATGTGCGTTACCCTTGAATCTCCATGGTCATCTCGCATCAAACTGAGACACTCAGCAATCATGGCACATAATGCGCGCAACCCTGCACAATTCGTGACATGATACAGCTGAAATATGCTGAGGCCATCACCTGCTGCGAGGTAACCAAAAACTTTTCCAAAGACCGCACCAAGCAACACTGCTGTCTACAAGTGAGCCGCAATGAGCCACACACGCCGTCAGTCTTGTGCATCAAAAGCGAGCTGATTGAATTTTGAATTTCCGAAAAGTCGACACCAATTTCAAATAACGCAAGGAAAATGCCTGTAGCTAACATCCGTCGATGCGATGTCTGCGTGGGTTCCTGCCGCACACCATGGCAAAGAAGTTGATTTGCAGCAGTGGCAGCAGTGGTCGCAGCGATAATAGAAGCAATGGTCGTCGCCATAGGAATAGCGACGTCGTTGTAGAAATCGTAGTGGTAGTAGTCGCAATCTTAAAACAGCAATCGTACGTGTAACCGTCGTAGTAGTCATAGTTGTAGTTGTCGCAATGTCCGAATATGATATTTGTAAACGTCATCATATTAGTAGAATGTAGTAGCGGTGTAGTAGCGGTGGCTTGGCGGGCGTTGTGGTTTCATAATATAATATACTTTTGTATTGTCTGGTATTGTACAATATAGTATAGTATAGTCTCGTCTAGCATAGTACAGTATAATATAATATAGTATACTATAGTATAGTACAGTATAGTACAGTATAGTACAGTATAGTATAGTATAGTATAGTATCATAGGATACTATAGTCAGTATCATGCTATGGTCTAATACTGTACACCCTCTAGCATAGCAGAGTCGAGCAATGTATAGTCTTCCTTGAAAGGGTTGCTTCTGAAACTGTCAAGCCCGGCCCTAACCCGGTTTAGGGTTTCGGGGATGCAGAGCTCTGGACTCCGGGTTTTGCAGCAATTCTTCTTTCTCCTGCTGCCCTGACCATGCTAATACTGACGTTCGTCTGTTTTCTAATGTTCATGTCCTTGCAACCTCGGCTATCTGGCCACGTTTGTCCTTGAACTCGAAGCCCCAAAATAATAAACCAAGAGCTTCTACAGCTTTCTTGAACCCTGATAACAATAGCCCGTTAAACCGCAGCCTTAAAATCTGACCTCAATAAAGTTGCGCACCAATCTCTTGATGCGGATTTGAACCCGTATCTAGTCGATCCCACTTTCTTCTTCGACGAATCATACCTCCCCCTGCATGTCATGCAAATGATGTCACAACAGTTTGTTGTGCTGCTGAAGACGACAGCCACAATCCAATAAAAGCAAGAGCAAGAGTTTTGGCAAGGACTGGACACTGCGAACGGACCTGGCGGGTTCCTGACCAAGTATTCACCACTCAACCGATGTTCTGAACGGCATTTTTCTGGAAGCTCGGCTCACCTGGACTGAGAGACTCACAGAAGTTTTTCAAAGCAAACAAAAAAAAAACGGCCATTCCTGGAGTCAAATCCTAGACTCAAAAGCCTTCACTCTAAACCCTAAACTAACCTTCAAACCCTTTATCCTAAGTCTTGAGCTCCAAAACTCTCCACCAACCCCGAAGCCCAAAACTAGGTTTTAAGTGTTTGAAGGTTGAAGAGGGGCTTGAACGGCTTTCTCAAAGTTTAAGAGGCTTGAAGGGAACTTGAGGTTCAGGTTCAGCAGCTTCGAATCGTGCAGACAGTAAGACTCCAGCTCCGGAGTTTTTAGAAACTACCAGTTTGTGCAAATTTCACACCCAACGTTTGAAGTGGCTTTATCATCAAGATCCATTCAGTCAGAAGGAAAACCTGTCCTGTGTCCTGCCACTAAGGATGACGGAAAAAGATAATGCACTGCATTGGATTTTGTGCTACTCAAGTCTCCCCTTTGTCAAGGAGGGGAACCCTGTTTTTCGGACAGTTGAACACGACTTCAGCACATCGCCTGCGCTGAAATCAAACCAAGATCTCCGCCTTTCAGAACAGAATGAACATGATTTCTGCCTGGAGGCCAATGACTGCCGGCCGGCTGTCAAATGGATTTTCGAAAGACACCTGGAACTGGTTGTTGCAGGGATGTAGCAGGCAGGAGCAAGGTAACAGGCTTTCTAAACAGAGTGCGTTATGTGTTTACAAACGCCTCAGAATGGCCGTTTGGTCAATGGAATCTTCGTGCAGCGACTCGCCCACGCCGTCGCCGCTTCCGCGTCGTCGCGTCGTCGTCGTCGTCGCGTCGTGGCTGGCAACATTTGGCTGGCGACATTTGGTGCGGCTCGGTGGCAACAATTCGGTGGCAACAGTTGCGAGGCAACATTTAGCGCGGCTCGGTGGCAACAATTGCGTGGCAACATTTAGCGCGGCTGGGTGGCAACAGCTGGGTGGCAACATTTAGCGCGGCTCGGTGGCGACAATTCGGTGGCATCAATTGGGTGGCAACAATTGCGTGGCAACAATTGCGTGGCAACAATGGCGTGGCAACATTTAGTGCGGCTCGGTGGCAACTTTGTGGTGGCAACATTTGGTGCGGCTCGGTGGCAACATCTCGGTGGCAATGTTTCGGCCGTGTCCTCCTCGTCGCCGCGTCGTCGTCGTTGCCGCGTTGTCGTCGCGTTGTCGTCGCTCTGTCGTCGGGTCGTCGTCGTTGTGGTTGCGTCGTCGCCTCATCGTCCTCTATACCACTATCCTCACCCATTCTCTTGGGTCAGGAGTGATGGGGAGCAATGAGGCCTGGGCACAGCGAGGCTGGGGCACCTGGGGGCTGCAGCGACTGTCAGGGCACGTGGGGGCTGCAGCGGGGGCGAAGCTGTTGTCGTCGCCACCTCCTCGTC